TTCTCCAGCATCCCTGCCAATGGAGCTATACAACGTTAACATGAGTGAGAAATTTTGCAAAATTTAAGTGCACACAAGATGCAACTTTTTATTTTTAAACTGGTGTTACTTTAAGCTGTCTGAGGTTATGCAACACTTGCATTAAAAAAAAAAAGTAGACACACCAAAAACTTATTTAAAAACTGCTGCTTTCCCTGCATTATGGACAAACTTTCAGTAAACACAATCTGCAAATATAGGGCAAGAGTTAAAGTAATGAAGCCAAATGAAAAATGTTTTGCAATCAAATGAATTGTGTAAATGCAATCAAAAATGGCTATGCAAAAATGCTGTCTTATTTGAATTTGCTCCTTTCTGAGTCATAAGTCCTTCCTATAATGATCAAAGCAAATGATCATAGCTTCCTCCATATTCACCCCTATCTTTGTGATATAGGAACATGAGTTAGCATTCTGTTTCATGTGTCAGACTTAAAACAGCATTCCAGTTCCAGAACTCTCACTATACTGATGAACTGGAATGATGCAACTTCACTGACAGAACCAAGGTGGAAGGGCCAGCCAAGCATTCCTTTCTTTTACTTATGAACTAACATTTGATCTGAACTAACTTGGACACAATATGGAATCCCACAATGGCAGTGGCATTCTTACATATATTCCAAATTTAACTACCCTTAAATGCTATATCAAAGTATTTTTTCCAATTAAAATTGAACTGTTATAATCAGAGACTCCTCATGAGCAAGGAACAAAAGATGTCAGGAAGAAAAAGAGAGCTCTAAACTGGATCAGAAACCTAGCTCTCTTTCCCCACAACCTTTTCTTAAGCCTTTCCCCAAGAATTCAGGTAAAACTGTGGTCTCAATGTAATTAACCCCTCTGGTCTCACCTTGGAATGACCGCAGAACCCCAAGTCCTCTACACAAGCCAAACTCTCCCCAGACCCTACATATTGTAGGGTCTTCATTTTCTGCATGTTTGGCTTCATGCCTCTGTTCTCAGCTCCCAAGTATGATGTAGGGAAGGCTGAAGTGTTTAATGCCTTTTTAACTTTTGTCTTCACAAATAGGGGCAGCTACCAGATGATGTGTGCAGCTGTTGGCAAGGATAGAGAAGGAGACAAACAGCCTGGAATAGTAAAACAGGTTAGGGATTATTTAGGGAAGCCTTCATGTTGGCAGGACCAGCTGGGAAGCACCCCAATTCTGAAGGAATTGGCTGATGTAATTGCAGAGTTGTAGCTATCCTCTGAGACCTGGTGAAGGTCATGTGAAGTCCCGGATGCTTGGCAAAAGGGTAAATATAGTGGTCCATCAGAAAGGGAAGAAAGAAATTATAGACCAGTCAATATGACCTGAACCCCTGGAAAGATCAAGGAGCAAATTTTCAAAGAATCTATTGTGAAGGTGAAAGTGAAGGAGATGATGATGATGATGACGATCAGGAACATCCAGCATGAATTCACCAAGAGCAAATCATGCCTGACCAACCTGATTTCCTTCTATGATAAGGTGATAGGTTCTTTGAAAGGAGAGAGAACAGTGGATGCAATATAACTTGATTTTAGCAAGGCTTCTGACACCCTCTCACATAACATTTTTACCAACAAGCTAAGGAAACACAGACTAGATGAAAGTACCACAAGGTGGATCCCTGTGTTTAACTAATAGTTATCAGTGGCTCAATGTCTAGCTGGGAGGAGCTAACAAATGGGGTTCCCCAGTGGTCTGTTTTGGGTCCAGTATTGTTCAACATCTCCATTAATGATTTAGATGATGGGATAAAGTGCATGCTTAGCAAATTTGTGGATGACACCAAATTGGGTGGAGTTGCAGACTCCCCAGAGGGCAGGACTAGGATCCAAGGTAGAGTGGAGAAATGGTCTGCAATCAGTTAGATGAGAAGCAATAAGGACAAATGCAAAGTCCAGTACTTGGGATGTAATAACTGCATGCACAAATACAGACTGGAGAATAAATAACTAGGCTGTAGCACTGAAGAGAAGGACCTGGGGGTTACGATGGAACATAACATGACATGATATTGATCCCTACCTTCCTTTACAGGATCAAAATCTCTCCCACTTGAGCCAACAGAATAAGCAAGAGCAACAATAAATTCCAATCCTCTATAAAGACCAGGGGTAGACAGAAGCGAGATATTTTGCCAGTACGTTTTACAGTAGGATAACAGCCAGACTGGAATCTTGGATTCTACTGCAGAGCCTAGAAAGGACTGAAATATCCTTGTGCCTCTCCTCTTCCCCCAAGCTTGACCCTGTCTCCCATCACATACTAACTGTCCTGTTTCTCATCTACCCCTGGCTTCTTATCACATTCTCCTTACCCCTCTCCATTCCTCAAGTTTCTCATCCTAATCCCAGTTATCTTGTCCCACCACCAGGTTCTAGGCTCTTCCTCCTGGATCTTTATCAGTTTTTCCTCCCCTCTGGTCTAGTTACATCCTTTATATACATGTCTACAATCCCCAGTCCAACAGTTCCCATCTCAATTCTCTCTCCATGGATTCTTCATATAGTAAGTCCCATCCCCTGCTCTCCCCACCCCCCAGTATCTTGCCCCAATCTCTTTGAGCACCAAGTCCTAGCTTTCTCCCTGCCATATCCATCCCCCCTCCTCCATATTTTCATCCCCATTGTCCCAGTGATTCTCAGTTCCAGTCTCTTTGCCCAGCCATTCATTCTTCCCCCTTTATATAGAGTCTCCTCCCCACTCCCCAAGTTCCTTGATTAAGTTTATTCTCCATTAAAAGAAAGACCTATACCAAGAATTAGAGGAGATCCTGCCAAGCCCCCTGCTGCAGCGTGCCTGATACAGGCAGAATCCTTGTGGAATGAGCATATACAAACTGCGATCTTTCAGTTTTCTTCCTGCTTGGTCAAACCTAACTAGGTTTCCCTGGGGATGGCAAAAGGCAAATCCTTGAAGAAAGGCTACCAGTCTGGCAGATTTTAAGACTTTGTTCCAAGGGATGGGGGTGCTACAGTGTTTCAAACAAAAGGGTAACAGAATTTATTTTTAAAACTTGGGCAAAACACTTTCCCCTACTCTAGTTCTCCAAAACAGATAAGCCACTTTCTTGAATATTTCTGAACTATTTAGCCAAGGGGTCATATTCAGCATGCAAAATATTGGCCTTCCCAACCAGTTCAGGTCTGACAAGTCTAATAAACCTGTAAGAAACTGAAAATGGAAGCTGTTAATGGGAAATCTTGGTGAACCTTAATAGATGGTATTAGCAACTTCCTGATGAGACAACTCTTGCAACCTAGGTGCAGCACGGTGGTAATGAGATGACAATCAACAAGGACAAGTAGGGCTCAATAGCATGAAACTCCTGTTCAGAGGCTAAGAAGATGGAGCTGATGAACAGAAGCACAGCCCCAGAGAAATAAACGGTATTTCTTGACTCAGAGAAAGAAAATGTAAGCAATGACTTATTTTTAATACTGAAATTGATCAAAGAAGTCCTGAACTGGATTCTGTGAAATTCTGCAAGTTCTTCTTACAAGTTAAATGCTGATTTTGTATGTGGTATACAAAAATCCCCAAAAGATCTGAAAGCAGATTAGTTACTAACTGAGTTTAAAATCCACCCATGCTTATGACCAGCTTGCCTAAATTTGCATTCAACATTATAAGAGAATACAGTAGGAAACTTTAATCATACATAGTTTGAAAATAAAATAATTGATGGCAAAGAAATGGAAAATACTTACTGGAAATAGGAATGCAGCCAAAGTTGTTTCTGTGCTGTTTGCATACTGTAGGGAAGTGAGCCACCAGCTAAAAAATAAAAGAAAAACAGCATTATAAAACTCTAGCTTTTGTTTTTTTGAAAGACATTTTGCAAGTGTCACAAAAACACATTTTAAGTAAATTGTGAGGGCGTAAAAGAATATATTATTTCCACTAGCAGCATAAAATGTCTCTCCAGAAAACAAGGAGAAACTCCTGTGATTTTAAGTGGTTTGTCTTGTCAGAATAAAATACTTAAATACCAATCCCCATATTTTATATAATGCATTTAACACCAGAAAGAGGTAGAAAAAAATCAAACTTAATGGTTCACAATTCAATCCTTTCTTTAAAGATACAACTATGATATTTTTTCCTTAGTAAGCCAGATAGAATCCATGTTATATAATCATGGATGGGCATCTATTATTCCCTTACATAAGATACAGGAAATAAAGAAAGCTTCAAATCAGTAACTATAGTTACAAAAGGTGAGTATTTTTGTGAAACTGTATATGGCTAAGTTGATCTCTGGTTGAGGTTTTTAATGACCATTTTTCTAAAAACTGATCAGAACGAAGGAAATCCAGAAGAGTACAGCAAGTAGTAATCCATCTTGGGCATTACAAACCTAAAGGTTAATGAAGTCCCAAAAACCTTTATTCGTATGTGGGCTGCCACTGACTACTGGAATCAAATTGGACTATTCACCCGAACAAAGGCCATAAGGCTATATACCAACACTCCACTAAATAAAGAGTCATGCTATCTGAACAATTTCACATGATTTTATCTTACTGTAACAGACACTAATCACATATTTTTCAAATCAGGAGACAAAGTATCGGTTTTACCATGATTTTTATTTATAATACACAGTAAAACAATAATTGATTTTTATATCTCCAATACAGTATTCGGTTCATATATTAAAATAAACATTTACAAGAAGCATCATAACTACATATATACTTGACTCAGTTCACAGTTGTCCAACCAGAGTTCAGAGAAAGGAAGGACCTCCAGAAAATGGATAAGAACTCCTTGATCCTGTATAGCCAATCTTGCCAATAATCAAAATAGCTAATATACACTTCAACTTGTCCTTGTTTCTGTGTGGTATAACTGAGGAAGTCATCTGTGAGTTCATAAAAATAGCTTAAGAGAACCATTTTTGAAACTATTGGCCTTAGTGTATCAGATACAAAACTTTAAGATGACTTTCTTGGCTTATGCCAAAATTTACACATGCACATTCATTTCAGGAATGGAAATCTGAGAAGAATGAACTGACCAACTGTAAATCATGGAATATTAAAGCATTACCTGGGTTCCCACCGCCACTTCCTAGACTGGTATATTATTTTTCATAACATTCAGCATCTACGGTGTGGCTAAATGCAAAGTAAGCCTTCTAACAGCTTTGCTTGCAAAAATGCAATGAAGAGAAAAACTTTGCATAAACACAAACATCTTCCGGTTTGCAGCCAAAGCTCATGCATCACTAAGTTAGAGCTGTGACCAGGAATAGCGCTTTGGGTAGTGACATACAAATTGGACTAAGACTATTTTAATTTTCAGGCCAATACCTGTAAAACTTTCCTGTCCAGAGTCAGGCAATTGCCCTGTTGGGTCAGCACTCCAAAAATCAAACCAGGACTCTATGGCAACACTTATGATGCCTACACAAGTAACTTTCAGGTTCATTCAGCAACAGCACCACCAGTCACTGAAACATTTACACATGAGTTTACATGCATCATTATCACAAAAATTATAAAATACAGAATTATTTTTCCATTAATTTGTTTACCAGGGTATCCTTCCAAACTCTGCCTCACATTGTCCACAGTAGGATAAACCTAAAAAATACAACACAAACAATTATTAGCTTAAAACAATGTTAAGATGCAATACTACAGCTCTGTTAAAAAGTGTTGCCAATTTTAGACATCTGATGCTACTATCTTAGGGACAATGAAAATTCTCAGAAATTCTCAAATGGAATAAATGCACAGTTTTCCAAGAAAACTGCAGAAAAAGACTTTTGTGCCATATTAAATGTTCTGTCTTATCAGAATTAAAAACTTTTAGGTTTCATTAAAACCAAACTAGACAACAGAAAATTAGCCGTGAAGCAACATACACTGAACATTTATTCTGTCAGTTCTCTTTTACTGTTGCTGACTCTCTCTGAAATTCAAGGTTCAAAGGCATAGGAATTTCTAACATGTTTCAATTCATACTGCATGCTTCCCTGACTAAAAATTCTATCCCCCACAACATCTAATTTACATGACTTTTTATTTTGTTTGTTTCTAAGGGCTTATTTACATGGGGAGGCTGGTGTTCAATAAACTAAGGCATGAACTTACAATGCGCTAGCTAATCTGAATTAACTTGTCCACAGGACCCCCCCCCCCCCCCCCCCCCCCATCTCTGATTTTACTCACTAATAAAGGAGATGGACTAGCAGAAGACATTAAGGCCACTTGCAGACATTTAAAAAAAACGACGCAAGCAGAAGCGCATTATTGCAACCCAGCTCTGCAGTATCTGTCTAGATCAGGCACTTCAGCAGGGCCTTTTGGCGCTTTTAGCTAAAGCTGATTCAATCAGCTATTAGATAAAAGTGCCAAAAAAGCCCCACTAAAGTGCCTGATTTATCCAGATGTTGGGTGAACCAGATCCAACTAAGGCACTGCCTCTTCTGGCCAGGTGCTAGACTCAGCACAGGGGCATGCCGAGTTCAAAATAAAGCACCACTTTTTTTTTTTTTTTTTTTAAAACCTCTGCAAGCAGCCAAAGTTATTTTCTCTCTTCAGGAGCTGTCCCCCAGCAGTCTCTTCAGCAGGTAGTGATAACTAGTGGAGATGACTTTTTTTTCTAACTAACTGGAACTAGATATTTGGGTTAGGATCTCTATTTTCTCTTTTAGAATTATTTCACAATTCTGTCTTTTTTGCCAAGGTCACTTGGTTTCAAAAAAGTTATTGCTACTGGCAACTCAAGCAAGTTTTATAACATAACTTGGCTGATGCTTGCCCCCTGCTGATAAATCTTAATTAGCTTACAACTATCATACTAAATACTACAC